TTCCAACCTTAATGATCCTGTGATTCTATGTTATGTTTTAAAGCAGTGATTATTACCTGGCTGTTAGCTGTATTCTAAAGGCCTAGTTAAAAAAAAAAATCCTCCTGTAATCATAAAGAGACAGTATATTTGCATCTCCTTTCTTTGTCTTTCATTGACATATAAATAATAGTTTTTTAAAAGTGATTTAGGTTGTGGAGCTTGAATTAGTCACCTGACCGTGAAGATAATTACTCTCAGCAGAAATTAATAATGCCTTTTTTAGAGTAGATGACCTCCTCATAATTATAAATAAAAGTATGATCAGTATACCATATAGATTTGAATATTTCAGCATTTTAAGTAACTTAAGGACTTTGAAGCTCCATATTTTAGTGCTAAATTTCAGACTTCCATACTTATCCCAGTTCTTAATTGCTTTCTTTCCCCATCATTTCTCTTTTGTTCTCTACTCTAAACCACTCAGATCTCTTTTCTTTTTGTGTTCGTATTTTTTATTGAGAAACGCAAATGAAAGTATAAGTAGTCCCTAATTAGGTAGTGCCAATGCTCTCTCTAGTAATTTTTGATAGAAAATTAAATAAACAGCTGTAATTAGATTACTCTTAATAAGTAAGATTAAAAGCTGCTATTTAGCCAGAAAGGATGCTGCTATTTTCCTTACTTTGTAAAAATGTACTAATGATGCTCAAATGTCAGGAAAAGACCTTAGCTGTGGTTTTTCTGTAGTCATTCAGTTAGTATCTATTTTTGTTTCCCTTCTGGCATTAATATACGTTCTTATGTATAAATCTACTCAGACTATAAGTAGCAATATCCCAAATGTCAGCCCTTAAGCACTAGTCCGTGTGCCTAAGATCCACAATATTTCTACATGAATCAGTCTTTAAATAAAATTATCCTAAAATATATATATATTATATACAAAAAATGCACAATTCCTTCTTCATAAACATCTACAGAACCTTGTTTTATTTTTAAGAGATCAGAAGCTTGGAAAGTGGAAAAAGCAAGTTGTGTGTTGTAAGAGAGAGTAAAAATAACCTCACGGATATGGTTAATCCGTCATTGGATGAAACTGTTTTTTAATCGGTAACCATTTCACCAAAAAGTAATTTTATTTTCCCAATATACCTATACAAAGAAGCTTCCTTTCTTCACTTTCTTAGAACGCAATGTGAGATACCAGTACAAAATTGAAACATAGTCGTTAAAACTAAATAGGTTTGTGAAAAGATGGAACTGAGATTGCATCTAGGATTTTAAGCTGCCCACTCGCTTGCAGATATGGGACCAAGTGCTAGTCTGGAGGATGGTAGGTTTGTTGTTCTTTGCAAATTTATTTTGTAATCCAGTTTGATGTCCTGCATGCATCCCGTGATGCCAGGCTAGCTGCTGCTTGAACAGCTTCATGCTAAATTATGTATAACAGCTGATGGCTGATGTCATCTTTGCATATTTTCCTGTGAAGCCAGCTTGATTTAAAAGCTAACTGCTTTAGAGACAACCAGTGGAAAAGAAAATTTATAACAGGCTTTAAACTAACACAGCAGAGTAATGGCTGGTTGTGAGGAGTGTGTATGAGTAGCCTTGAATGGTTAGTGTCCAATTCTACGAAAGCCTATTCAGATTTGATTTGAGTAATTTTTTACTTTCAAAGGCAACTCTAACAGAGTTAGAGAATCCACATTTAAGAATATAGGTATTCATGACTGGGATCCATAATGTAATACATATATGCTAGCATATATGTAGCATAAAGTTTACTTTAGTATCTTTTGTACCTGTTAATTTAAATATTCAAAACTAGGTGTACTTTAAAAATGTTTTTCTGAAATCAGGTCCCTCCTGAAGTTCCTATTCATGCATTATCAAAAATCTGAATCTCTTTAAATGCTATCAGCAACACACCTTGACATACAAATTTTCATGTTATGTCATTGTCTTTATTCCTGCAGACACTTCAGTTCAGATACTGTTAATCCTTCCATCAAATCATTGCTGTGTGGCAAGTCCAATTGTGCTTTCTGTCTGTTTTTCTTTGCTTACCAGCATTGCGTCCTACCAAGTTACCATCAAGAAGAGCCCTAATTTTCACAATCGCATGCATTGACACTTGCTATTTGATACTCTTGTATTATATGGTCTTGATTATGGTTTGTGACTAATAATTTTTGGTCACTAAATGTCTTTGCCTAATGTTTCAGTGTTGGTGAAGGAGGTATGTAAATTTTGCTCCTGTGTTGACAACTCGAAATTTGGGAATTATTTTTAAAAGGGCTTAAGCATCTTTGACACCATTAAAAAGCAAAGCATATTTTTAGCACCCATGTCCATTTGAAAACAGACTTAAGTCTTCCTAGTTCTTAAAAAAAAATTATTATCCCTTGATGCAGGTGTAATTCTGCTGCTTGGTTAGTTATACTGTCCTCAGTCATTGTATATTGAAGCTAAGCCAGATTTGACAGTAAATCTCTAGAACTCAAATTCATGTGGAAATAACATGAAAAATATTTTGACTTGCTTTTTGTTTAGATTATATTTCTGTATGAGAACCTCAATAATATCTTGTTAAGATTGCTTGGCTAAAGCAGTTAATTCTGTGGATAGGGCTTTGGAGGAGTTTGATCCAACACTTCATATAGTCTGCCCCTCCTCCCTCCCCCTTTGTATTAGGAGACTAAAATACGCCTTAAACATAGTCACGGTGTGTAGAATGAGTAAGACAGGAAAATGATATTTAAAATTTAGTAAAACAGCCTGCTGAAAACAGTGTTTAATCTGTCTTCATACTAGTAGTTGCCGTATGAAATGAGCATGAAGTAAATGCACATTATGGTTAGAATTCTAGTTCAATGATAATTGTTGTGGGTTTGTTTTGTTGTTTTGGTTTTTTTCAGATATACTCCACTTGATTATGCCTTGCTTGGTGAACATCATGAAGTGATTCAATTCATGTTAGAACATGGGGCTCTGTCTATAGCTGCCATACAGGACATTGCTGCTTTCAAAATTCAGGCTGTCTACAAAGGATACAAAGTTAGAAAGGCTTTTCAAGAGAGGAAGAATCTTTTAATGAAACATGAACAGCTGAGAAAAGATGCTGCTGCCAAGTAAGTCTAAGCCTTGAAATCTGCTCCAGCAAATAAACATTTGTCAGAAGTTTATATATATCAGTGTATGTATGTATCAGTGAATAAACAGTGTTTATCTGTTACTCATCATCACTTATTGTTCCTCTTAGTAAAATTAATGAATCTGGAGGAAGCATATAGTGGATTTTTTTCCGTACACCTATAGATGGAAATTATTTTCCAGTGTCCTGGTTTCAGCTGGAACAGAGTTAACTTTCTTCATAGTAGCTAGAGTGAGGCTATGTTTTCGATTTGTGCTGAGAAGAAGGCTGATAACACACTGATGTTTATAGTTGTTGTCAGGACAGTCAAGGACATTTCCAACTTCCCATGCTTTGCAGTGTGCAGGTGTGCAGGAAGCTGGGAAGGAGCATAGCTGGAGCATAGCCCACAGTTACTGGTTTAGGATTGAGACCCAAATTGGCCAATGGTATATTCCACATCATGCCCAGGATATAGATGACAATCTGTCCGGAAGTTTTCTCACTTGCACTGTCACTCTCTCGGTCGGCTCTCAGTCTCTTCTCATTTCTGGAATTGCAGTTTTGGGAGTCTCCCCACTCCAGGATCCTTAGCCAGGAACAGCCTGAGCCTTGGTCATTGGGTGGTGAGCAGTTTCACTGTGCATCACTCATTTGTATATTTGTATATACTACTATTATTATTATCATTATCATTATCATTATTATTTTCAGTTTTATTGTAGTTTAGTTAGTAAACAGTTCTTATCTCAACCTATGAATCTCTTTTTCCTTTACCTCTAATTCTCTCCCCCATCCGTGGGAGGTGGGAAAGTGAGCAAGCAGCTATATGGTATTCACTGCCAGCCAGGTCAAACCACGACATCCAGATAATCCCAAATTAAGTAACAAGCTTTATGTAATATACAAGAACAAGGCAAAATACTAAAAGCTGAGAAACTAGCATGTTAGCATCCATGAATCTTTGCCTGATGTTCTGTATGATGATAAAAAGGCTTGGAAAGCATTTATCACTCTAAGGTAATGGAAATAATTATTGACTTAGCGAGTCTTTGATATCGGTTTTGAAAATAAATTAATAAGTAGATGACAGAAAAAAATGAAACAGGAAAAGCCTGGTTTAACAAGGCTTAACTTATTGTTTCACAGGGGAGGTTGTGCTTTTCTAGCAAACTGAACTCCTGGATTTTATTTGCAACTTCTGTCTTGGCACTATCACTCTCTGCACTTATATTTTCTGCTCTTAAATTAGAGAGTTGCCATGAAATCATTATATTTGATTGTAGGTAACTAACATATGCAGTTCAAATAGTTATTTGTAAGATGTGTAAGTTCTGACTGAGTTTCTACCCTATTTGAATAAGGTAATGGTAGCAAAGTGGTGAAATTCTAAAATCAGCAGGTACATAAATGATCACCAAAATGCTTTGCTTGCTTGGGCTTTAACCTTAAGATTCATAATATGAAGAAGAACAAATAAACACCTGGTTTCTCTTGAAGAAATCTGATGCCGGAGTGAAAAAAACGTATCAGTCTGAAAAGATTTCTAGATTATTTTGTAGTATTATTTCTGTAAAGAGACATCAAAAGAATAAACACACAATGTAATTACTGCACCTAGAGGTATATTTGTTGCATCCATGTATCAGAAAGTCAGCTGCACTCTGCTCTATTTCAAATTCAGTAATTTGATGTTGTGCATAACTGGCCAGTCTGACCTTCATTGCGTTTGAAGGGTACTGCTATACTGCTTAATATGTTAATGTCCAGTAAGAGCCAAAGCTAGAAATATCAGATACCTAATCTCTTGCTCACATATTTAGATCCTGAAGTTGTAACTTGCAGCCCTTCTGCTGTTTGCCTTTTCTGCTTGAAGTCAGTAGAAGTCAAACCCATGCATAGAGAAGCTGCCTTTGAAAATATCCTGAATGTCTTATATATTTCTTTTTAATTTGGAGACTCTGCTTCTTGCTGTGTGGTCACAACTGACTTTACCAAATGAGGTGATTTTATTCTTTGTGATGACAGTAATTTTGAGAAGAATCTGTGATACTCCATCTGGAAGATTAAATGAAAAAAGGATTGCCTCATGGAAATTTGGGGGTGTTGTTATGTTTTCCTTTGTGAGTTTCAGATGTACTTTCTGAAACTTACTAAGCTGTTGTTGATGTGTTTTAAAACAAAAGAAACAAAGTCTGTGTACCAAATACAGAATTAAAATACAATTGGAGTATACAAGCAAATCAAGTTGTCACATAACAAATTTTATTTAATTGCAATTTCACGATCTGTAATAAACTCAAGGGGACATTATGTTGTCATCATTCTGCATACCCATCTGTGCATCCCACAGCTAAAATTGTCCAGGGTGTTGCTACATACCAAAAACTAATATCGCTATGATGTTCAAAATTCTGGTCTCTAGATAAAAGTAGATATTATGTGGGAATCCAGAATGATAGTGAACTCCTAGATTGAAAACCCACCCCCGAACTATTTCGTTGTATGTATTTAAAACTTGCTTTGCAATACGTTATTTTAGAGAGTCTCACTAATCTAAATCATTCCTAAGTCTGTATGTTTTAAATTACTGTTCTTTTTCCATTATTTTTTTCCTGAACAAAAAGTCAACCAATCTCATACCTGTACTATTTTCTGGCAAAGTTACATTCACTGCATTCAAGGCCTGTGAAATATTTCTATACAAACATGTTCTCCTATTTTGAATAAATCTATATCAAAAGAAATGAAGTTTGATGCAAGCCAAAACAACATGCACACTATTATGTCATTGGGCAAAGAGACATATCAGGAGACCAGTTTGGGTAATCAGGAAAGCCGTGACACAGCTTAAATGCAACAAGGCGGTATACAGGAGGTGAAAGCAGGAACGGGCTGCAAAGGAGGGGTGTAAAAACATTGCTTGGGTATGTAAGGATGGTGTCAGAAAAGTCAAACTCAAATGGAGTTGAGGCCTTCTAGGGATGTCACAGGTAACAAGGTGAGCTTCTGTCTCTACAGTAAGTGTCTGCTTTCTCAAAGGGGAAGGAATCTGTAGACTTAGAAACATCATTCCAAAGAATCACAGAATTGTTGAGGTTGGAAAGGACCTCTTGAGATTTTCTCGTCCATCCCTGTCTCTGCTTGAACAGGGTCAGCTAGAGCAGCTTGCCCAGGACCGTCTCCAGTCAGGTTTTGAATAATTATACAAATAGAGACTCCACAACTTCTCTGGGCAACCTGTTCCAGTGTTTGACCACCCTCAGAGTAAAGTGCTTTCTTGTGTTCAGATAGAATTTAAGAGTTTTAATTTATGCTTATTGCCTGCTGTCCTGTGAATGGGTGCTATTGGCTCCGTCTTCTTCATTCCCTCCTGTCAGGTATTTATAGACATAGATGAGATTCCTCGCTGAGCTTTCTCTTATCCAGGCTGAACAGCCCCAGCTCTCTCAGCCTCTTCTCATATGAAAGATGCTCCGGTCCCTTAAGCTTCTCCATGGCCTCTCACTGGACTCATTACAGCAATTCCATACCTTTCTTATCCTGGAATAAGTAATAAAACTTCTATGTATCTGGAAAAAAAAAAAAAAAAAAAAAAAGAAGTAATGGCTGGTCGGAATTTGTTAAGACCAAATTACATCAAACCAACTCAATTTTCTTTTGTGACAGAATAAAAAAATTTTGTGGCCAGGGAGAAACAGTAGCTGTCATTCAGACTTGCCTGAAGTTTTCATACTTTCTTATGTGCTATTGTCATTAGCAAAGCAGGGCAACACAGCTTCGATTAAACTGCTGTTAGGTGTGTGAAAACAGCTTGGAAGAACATATGCAGAGTAGTTTAATGGTTCAACTTTAAACTGGAAGTATATATTAATGAAAATTCCACATAAATCCATTCTGAGTCTGATACTGTGCAGTATTTTAATTTAAGAAGTGAAATGTTAAATTTCCAAATGGCCCCAAGGTGCATGAGACTTGTGAGGACATTGAAGACTAAAGCAGAATTCAGAATGGTGTGAATACATATGAGAAATTGTTGAGGAAAAACTAGGTGCTTAGGTGAGGACAAATTGAGAGCTCTACACATTTGGCAAGACCAATCAACATAGGAATACTGGATGGAAATTAACTATCTTTTTAGCACTTTTGTTAAGGACTATCTGTTAAAAGGTTGTAGTGGATCATAAGCTAAACATGTGATTCAACAGTATCATGCTAGATTGTACAGCAGGAGATGGCTTTTTTGTACAACACAAAATATAACTCCTCTTGGTCCAGATAAAGCTTCAGCAGCAGTAGGATCATACCTGGAGATCTGTTTTCAGTTAAGATTTTTTTAAGTAACTTTTTGTTTTGCAAGGATAACTTTAAAAAATGCTCTCCAGGCATATGGACATGTTCTAAATTTAAAACATCCTCCACAGAGTAGATACAAAAAGCAACGTGTTCTTAACAGAATAGAAAAGGTTGGTTTCATTTTATCAGAATCAAAAATTCAAAGCATCTCTGTGTCTTCACAAAAGCTGAAGGCTGAAACTGTTCCTTTCCATCTGCTAAAGGCTCAGTTTCCATTCTCTCACTTTGGTAATGAAATACAAATTTATGACCATTCAGGATAGAATTCTGTTGCAGTTAAAATGGAAAACTTTGGCATGCCAGTTCTGTTATCACAGAGTAGTTTTCTAACTTTAGAGCCAAAATTTGGATCCTGCTGAGTCGCCAGAACCTCCTGAGAATGACTGACAGCCCTTAAGTTAGGAACTTGTCTATTTGCTTTACTTGTTCGTGAAACCTAGTCTCTCAACTCAGACAATAGTAAAACTTGGAAATTTTAATTTTTATAATATCCTTCATTGTAAAACAAACTGTATTTCTAACTAAATAAAGCAAACCACAAGGGGAGGTTCATAAGTATTCTTCAGGAATCTGTTAATTAAGCTCTACTGTGACAATTAGGGTGATGGTCTATGAATAGAGAGCTTTGAAATCCCTTCTGTTTCTGATTTCATGAGCTGAAAATTTAGCACAGAAACAAGACCTTTAAAAAAAATCCCCTTTTACTTCTCAACTTGTAGTCCTGTGTCATTTCAATAACTGTACAATTGGTGTGTTGCTGGAGTTAATCTGCTCATCCAAACAAAGAGTGCAGGCTGCCTGGGCTTGATTGTGTATTACACAACCTCTCTTACACTTTCTTTTCTCTTACCCTGAGTGGAGGATAGTGGTAACAGGCTGCCTGATTCTTGTGAAGAAAAGAAAATTACTATTCTATGAATAATAAGATCTGATTTATCAGCTCAAACAGCAGAGTAATGGCAGTGAGATGTATGCTGTACGCGAGACGGACATCCCCACATGGTCTGTTTGTAGCCGATATTATTTGAAACTAGCCACATTTTTCCATGCCAGAGGGAATACTGAAGCTCAGGCTGCCAGGAGTGTATTTTTTAGAACAATTAGCAGCTTTTCAGGTACAAAGTTCAATCAGCTTCTTCTGCAGAGTGTACTTGATAAGATAGTACTGACAGATAAAGTTAAGGCTTCTCCCTGGCAGCTCACATTGAAGTGACATATACTGGCATTGATATGACTCACAGGAACTGAGGATGGCATGCTGCATAACTAACCTGTCATATGCTGTGCTGTGAGCTAATGTGTCAACAGTCTGCAAGCTATGTTGTAGCATTGGAAGCAAGTTAAAATATCAGGCAGCTACATGATACGACATCTACCACCTGTCCACTCCAACAGGAAAAGTGTCACTTCATCTTGCAACCAGTGCTTAATTTATAAGAACAAATTCAATGGTAGGTAGGTATGTAATGTTTGCTGTGTGCTACTGGGCTTATTCTGCTTTGTTGGAAAAAGAATTTAAAAGCTAAGGTGCAATGATATCCTGACGTATTTCAAAATAGGATGCAAAACTTTATTCTACAGATGTGCCTTTCCTAATCTTGTCCAAAATTATCTTCTCTATCTATACTATTTTAAGAGACGCATGACTTCTTTCATTTTTGAAACCCAAATGTCGTAATGGCATACTATGTGCACACAAGTTTTTAATTCACATCTCGTATTTTCAGTATTTATTATTCATATAATGTATAATCTGTTTATGTAAAATAATTATCTACCAATGATAAATATATAGCAGCAAGTTAGTACCAGTAGCTAGCTTAAAGTTAGTTTATAATTTTATATATTAATTATGACACAAGTAACTAAAAAAAATAATTTTCAAAGAGATAACATCTTTTATTAAGGTTTTCTAATTTACAAATACAGTGCATTACTGCTTATATTAAAGCATTGCTCATTACTAATTAAAAACATAGTTATTAGTATCATATTTCTTGTCTTCTGACACCTCTTCTTCAGAATGTCGCTTTTAATTTTTATATATTTATAAAAAACCCTAAATTTCCTTGTTTTCAATAAGGGTGTGTTTAAAAATCAGTTTAAACTGACACAAACTGAATGGGCAGCTGGCTGATAAGGGCTTAACCTTCATTAGGCTGTAGCTGCAAGTCTTGTTATTTTGGATCAAGCTAAGACACTTCAATGAAGTAAGTGTCCCTTTCTCATGAAAAAGGTGTTCTAGTCAAGGTTTTATAGTGGCAGTGTAAGGTTTCTAGAGAGAGAGAGAGAGTGAGAGTGTGTGTGTGTATGTGTGTGTTCAAGTTAGATACATGCTCCCAAGATTCTGTCTTTGGAATTCTTATGGTATTGACTATAATCACAGGAAACGTGAAGAGGAAAGTAAGAGAAAAGAAGCCAAACTACAGAAAGGGATGCAGAACGTGGAAAAAAATAGATTTCGAGTACAACAGAGTCCTGCAGATCGAGAGAAGACTACAAGCATCTCGCAGTTGCCTAAAAAGCCAATTGATATACAGCATAAGAGACCTCTGTCCCTCAATGTTTCACAAATTCAACCAGGGAGAAACAGCAGAGGTTCACCTAAACCTTGTGACAACAAAGGGACACCGAAGGAGAGTTGCCTGTCAGCGGAGCCTCAGAGTGAAGGTCATAAAATCAGGCAAGGTTTGTAATCTTTTTTTAATTGTCTTGATTATCCTTTTTGTCCATGTCTGGGGGTGTGTTACATATAGGACCTGTTTTATCTTTCTGTCATTTCTTATTCTTTCATTATTTAAGCAATTCATATAGGATAGAGTTAGATACAAATTCTTTTACTGCATGTGTTCTGTCAACTTAAAAATCTTAAATCAAAAATACCAGTATATACAGTGTCTGTAAAAATATCTAAAATATGTAAGAAAATGTTGTTGGGAGTTATTCTGTTAACTTCACTGTTTGGAGAAAATTAGATTAAAGAAATTTGGAATATCTGTGGGATACTTAAAGAATGTTAATGGAGAAATTGTAACTCGTTTTTAAACAAGGTTAAAATGAGGATAAAATTGTTTTAAGTGACAACTAGCATACAGAGGGAGCTGTTCAGTCAGCTTCATTCTCCATGACAGGGTTCTCCTATGATTTCTCTCTGAAGTCCTCTTGTTGAGAGCACTCCAGGATATTTTTTGAGAAGTGACTCTGTTTTTAGAAATTGTACTACGAAACAGTGTGCCGAAGCTCTTTCTGTTACTTTTCTTGCCCTGCTGCACTCTTTTATTCTGTCTGTAAATGCATCATCAATTTGTCATCATTTCTTGACCACTCTTACATTAGTTTTGTGAGATACACATGCTAATAACGTTTCAATCAGTTTTGCCTTCAGCCAGTTATAGGAGTCCATAGTTCAAATCTTTTCAAAACTGGTGATGTTAAAGCATCTTTGTTATTAGATGCAAAAATTGGACAAGTAGTTTATTTAAGGTAAGTTGCAAGAGCTCCTTCTCAGGTTTTAAAAATTCTATCAAGCTGTACTTGCATGTGTATTAACTTTATACTAGTTAAAATATTCAGACGGCAAAGTAAAACATGTTAGAATAATCAGAAATAGTGACTGCCAAATGAAAAATAGATAGTTGTAATTAACATAATGAGGAGAAATTTATAAGTATGTAAAAAGGGAAAGGAGAAAGAAAGATATGGGAAGGATTACAACAGTGAAGGAGGGAGAGGAGAAGGACCAGGAAAAAGAAGCTATAAAAGAGAAACAAACAGCCTTTCCTTTTACTGACTCCAGTATCCATTCTTAGCCAAACTCTTCCATTGGTTATGACAATGGAAACTGCATTGCATCAGTAAGACTCCCACTGTTTCTTGGAACAAATATAATGGGTTTGCACTGGCAGAATGACCTAAGGAAGTAGTAGTAGGTAGTCCATGGGACACATGGGCTATAGAGTCAAACTGACTGCAGAGATCAGGACTGAATTTGCCAACTTTTCTGCAGAGTATTCTAATATTGATAGTTATATTTGGAAAACCACGTATTCAGATGTCTACACTGCCCTTCACAGTAACCTAGGGAATTCAAACCAGCAGCAAATGCCAGCAGCATGTAGCTTGGACTTCTGGTGTAGCTATGCAAGAATAATTTTTCTCTGTTGATGGTTCTCAATCGTGTATTTTAAAATCATATAGGCTGTTGCCTGGAGATCTTTTGCTTTTCAATATATCTTTAAGAGTAGAATATAATTTCTGCAAAAGACAGAATTTTAATTTTAAATAGAAAATTCTTTGCTCTTGTTTATTGTCTTTCCTTTTCTATTCTGGGAGATCAAGAGAATAGATCAAATCAGTTAAGGAATAATTAATAACAGATTAAAATATATTAAAATAATACAGTTTTCTTTCCCTTTCTTAGAACATACAGGGCTATCTACCCATATGACAATTGTGTATAACTTACAGTAGCCTCTCAGCCCATACTGACCTGTCACTGTGATAAATCTTCTCTGTTGGAGACATCATTGATGATAAATTCGTTTTTTCTGTATAATCTGTTAATGTGCCATATTCTGTTATCCAGCCAAAAGAGTATGCTGTAAAGGCGTTACAGTGAGGATAAATATAGCACGGTTTCACCAGGTTTTGCGTGATCCAGAAGATTTTCTGTGATTCCAATACATCAAAGATCTTCTTTCTTTTTTCAACTCTTACCTGCCCATTAACACCCTGTCTGTTTGTTACATTTCATCCTCTCTGGTCTATTTTCTCATTCTCCGGTTAAATGGAAAGTGGATGGTAGGTGGGAGATTTTCAGTTTTGTGCTCCAGTCTGGCTTTTGAGTCATCCTAACAAGAGTGTTTGGAAGCTGTTATCACACAGCAGCAAGGGAGAAATGGGAAGGACTTCATAGTTTCATTTAGGCTGTCAAGGAAAGTACTGAGAAGCCAAGCTTCCTGGGTTTCCTGGGTCAGTGGGTTACCCTGTCTGTCACCATGTGCCAGGATACAGGGTGGCTAGAGCAGAAGTTTAGCAATTAAGGTTCAAACAGTGATGGTCTGTTATGGTGTCATCACTGGAATGAGCAGGTGTGTTCATGGGGCTGCATTCGTGCGCCACATGGTGAACTGTTTTCTTTGGAGAACACCAGTATATTCAGGTAGGTTAAGAAATAGTTTTCCCCTGTGAACTTTTTTTTAGGCATCTAACTCAAATGTAATGTGAGAAAGAAAAATATGTATAGAACAGAAAGCAAATGAGGAAGTTTGGGACTGTACTGTTACAAGCAATCATGTCCCCTTCTGATTCTTCCTGCTTATACATTTTTTTTTTCATTTATGTAAATCCTAGTGTGCCTCGAAGGTAACTGATCAAAAAAATTAGAGACATAAACTATGTTTTCCTGGATCAGAGACTGAATGTTGGTTTCCATTTCTCTGTCTAAAGATTCATTGAGGAAACACATCAAAAGCAAGTCAAGTTGTGTCCGTTTCCATTGTGGCAAAGCAAAAGAGGGAACAGAAGGTGAAGTGAAACATCAGGTTGCAGCTTCTACAGAACTGGCTGGAGAAAAGCACAAGGAGCACACTGTTGAGGCAACGGGTACTTGTGCTTGGAGGAGCAGAAGGCATACCTCTGCTTGTAGGACTGCTAGTGTTGGGGAAAAATTTAGAGATCAAAGTCAGTCTTCATCTGGCAACAGGGACCGTTCTGAAGGAATGTCTGCGTTCTTCTGCAATGTCAGTTGTACTGGTGGAACTGTGAGAAGCACAAAGCAGTGTGAAGCTGCTTCCAAAGGCAAAAGGCATCAGGTGAAATCCAGAAATAAAGAGGTAAAGGGTGAGCGATGTTCACCAGCTGGCTCTAGTAGACCAGGAAGTGCCAAAACAGTATTTGTAAACACCAGAAATGACAGCGTGCACGCTGTAGAACAAAATAACAAAGTGGGAAATAAGGAATTAGCAAAAAAGGCCTCCCCTTTATTGTCTGCTGGGGCAGAACCTACTGGAACAGTGCCAAGAAACCCAGCAGCGTGTTCTGCTCCTGATGACAGTTTGAACTTGGAAATAATAGGCATAACTGGGTCCAGAAATGCAGATGATCAATTGTACTTTGCCATGCGACAGAACATAAATATTGAACTAATCCCTTTAGAGATTCGAATGCAGATTATAGAAAAAGAAAGAAAAAGAAAAGAGCTGTTTCGGAAGAAGAACTATGCTGCTACAGTCATACAGAGGACATGGAGAAGGTAAGATTACTGTTTTAGTAGCTGGAGAAGAGTAAGGTACAAGTAGATGTAAATTAAATTAGGCTTTATGGCAATGCACTTTATTTGGTCCTGTTGCTCACAACATTACCAGTTGTAATTAAATCAGAATTTTAATAATTTTTCACCAACCAAGTGGAAGTAGGTTCCAGTCGCCTAGAATTACATTAGTAAGTTCATAAACAGTGCAAGGTAAGTGATGACTTTTAATAATTGAAGAAGTTATTAAACTTATATTTCAAGCACTGATACTTCTTCAGAGAATGCTGATCAAGATTTGCCTAAGCCTAGAGTTCACTGCTGTCATGGTCATTAGCAAACTTGCACATGTGGGGATACAGGATTTTTCCTGAAAAGGTTTTTGTAACTAGATCCTTCACCAGCATTTACTGATGCATTTGAAATTGTATTCTGACCTGACTTTTAACTGGAGAACCAAACCACAAGAGGTTTGGAAGCTTTGGAAGTTCATTGCCAAAACTTGAAACTCACTTGAATAACTTCACTGAGCAGGAACAACTGCTGTACAGAAGAGGCAGGCAAGAGAGAGTGAGATGCCCCAGTGTTTGCTTTCCACAGTATTGTGCCGCTTTCATGAATGCTTGAGTTTCAGCCTCAGAAATACAGTCATTCTGGATGTACGTGCTCCTTAATATATAATTTCTTATCAAAATTGACAGGAAGAGTATGGCAGCGGTAGGTGAAGCATATAATATGTACATAATTCTTATTTCCTATTTTTATTGACATTTTCTTCAGTTTTATGTGGTTGCAGAAAACTATAAATTGTTGATTTTTACTAGTAACTGATCTTTCAAGGTCTCTCACTAGTTTAACAGTTTCATAGATATTTTAATATTTCTTAGTATTCAATTAAAGAAAAAAATAACAAGGAAATTCCTAGAGAGCTCAACTCTCACAGCCTATGGTATGGTTCAGTAGTGATGCAAAAATTGTTCCCCCAACCAAACTGTATCGAAGGGAGCAGCTGGTGGGTCTCTGGGAGAATGTAGAGGGTAGTAATGTCCTTTATACTAGTCCCTGGGAAACCAGTGAGTTTACTGCAACAGTAGAATCAAGTCTTAATGCCCAGCTACCTGTAGAAGAAATGCTGGATCACTGGTAGACCTCCCTTCGATGGAATACTAACAGGGATCATAAATTCTGCAAGACCACAGGAGAGATTAGTTTGGCAGTTCCTCCGCTGTCACTTTGTTGTGTCTGTGGTCAGTTTACTGTTGCTAGAGCTTTGATGGAATTCATAAAGTTTGGAGCAATATCGTCATGCATTTATTTCAGTGGATGTGTTGATGTGGAACACAGAACAGTTCACGGCGTGGTGATGCTGAGGTGAGAGCACACCCTGTTACAAAGAGCTGTCTTTCCCTCCTGCATTCTCTCTCCCAGGCCCACCAGTTCTGCCACTTTTTCTGCTTATGCTTCAAGCTCAGTGTGAGCTTTATTGTCTGAGTGTTTTGAAACTCAGATGATGAGAGCTGTGAAATTGCACCAGATTTCCTCCTCCCAGTTTCCATGCTATTATCACAGCAATAGTGTTTTGTTTTAAAAAGAAGAGAGTTCTGCCTCTTCCTTTGAAGCAGAGTTCATACGTACCTCAAAAAAAAGAGGTAGTGTGGGTATTTTAGAACATGGATCCCCAGTCAGATGGTGGCACCTGCCTGTCAAGAAGTCATAGTTGGTGTTTCCAGCTAGCTCACACTAGGCAGCTGTATGTGCTGACTACTAACTACTGTCAGTCATTCTGACACTCTCCCTGAAATACTTCCTTTCCCATCCGCTGTACACCAAATCAGAGTTCTTAACTAGGTACCTGCTCTGTGGCTGTGGGTCCCACTCAGTCCTGTGTTTGTCTTTTGGGTCCAGGCTTGCACTGGTATATAGCATGTACTTGTAGACAGCAATAGAATTATACATTGCTGATGTAGAAGTACATGCTTGAGTTCTGGCATTTCTCTAAATTAGGATTATATACATTTGTCTCACTCTGCAAATTTTATAGTTATGATTTACTTACTGAACGTTTATCGAGAGCTATAATGCAATGGTACTGGGCTACTTAAGTATATTAAAATTGCCTTTCTTGGGAAAATGTTTCAATTCCCACAGTCCACAAACTTTATAAATGTAGTTCTCAAAAGTGTATTTTAAGGTGTGTGGCTTGCCAAAGGTTAATTGCTTATGTTGCTCGTTGAGGCTTACAGATTCTGTGTCTGGCTTGCTCTCTCGTGGGGGACACTGAGGCTCGTGCCATTCTCCAGGGTCCACAGTGAGTTGACAGAAGCTGGAAATAAGTTGGTTGCTGTCACTGTTGCTCTCCCACTGGAGTCCAGCTGTATTTTTTTCTATATTATTGCTATATGCATATTTTGACCAGCAGCAGTTTTTAAGATTAGAACTTCTGTAACAATGAATCCGAATACCCTTTGCCAGCTTTGTCATTCTGCACATATATTCCACATTTCTTTTATGTGCAGTAGTTTTGTTGACTAAGCACTGGGTGTTTTGTTAAGGCACCACATCACATTCATAGAGCATCAAACTTGGTCCCATACTTCTTTTTTTCTCACTAGGATCAGAACAGGCTGTTACAGGAGAGTTGAATTTAAGAATTGCTCACATGCTCTAAAGAGAACTGCCTACATATTCTCAGTGTCAGAGACTCCCTCTTCTTGCTAAAAGCTACCAGTTCTCTACAAGAATGAAATCACAGATGGGTGCAAAGGTGGAGTGCCTGCGAATGGGTCATTTCATGTATCAGCAAAGGTTTCTGGCAGTAATTACTGAATTCCAAGAGAATAGCTTAGTATTCTTTTCTGCTCCAGTATAAAACAGTTCCCCAATTGTTTTTCCTGCAGCGGTATTCACATAACCCATCCTTAGCTTGAGTTATGTTAGCAAGTCACTGTAATTGTGCCCCCCCTTCGCTTTCTCTTCCTCTCTTACCCTGTTGAAAAGTTCTCAGTGACGTGTTATTTAACAAAATTGGATCATTTTTTTTCTCCTGTCTCTTAATAATGCTCCTGTTCTGAATTCATACAGCACTTGGCAACTTGCAGGCACTACGGCCATTTATTGGTAAGATGCATTTGCTCCCCAAATTTGTTACATACTTTAATGAGCTGTGTAACAGTACATGCCTAAATCCTGAAGCTCCACTAAATTTAAGATTAAATAAGTTTGTCTCACCCAGCAAATTTCACAGAGGTAATTTACTCAGCTTATTTAAAGTTTAAAATTATTGGAGCTGTAACCGAGCATATCATCCCCCTTTGGCATTCTGTTGTGCTCCTGTGTACTCATTTTCTGTATACAGCTGCTGGTTTGTTTGAATTACATAGTTCACTGGCTTACAACATACATGTAAACAATTTATATCTGGTTGTGTTGTCTTTTGTTTTAATTTAGACCTTGTTGCAGATGGAGCAACAGAACAAAATCACCTCTTTCTCCCTCATTCTCTTTACCAGGGCATCCAGTAGAAGCCTTCTGGAATGCCAGAAGGGGTGTTGATCAATGTGTTTTGGCCCATTACCAAACACTTATAATTAATATTTTACAAGTGTTACTCAGTGTTCATTTGTGACAGGTTTGTACTGGGAAGATTCAGAGTTAATTGCTAAGGGCAGTTAATTGACTTGTGAGTGTGAAATGCCAATATCTGATTGAATACTTACATCTGATTCAAGAAAAAAAAAAAAGCAAAACAACTCCCTGCTGCTGGTGTCATTAGCCACTGAAGGGGGAAGGAGGACAGATAATCTACTGCTGCTGCTCAGAACAGGGCTGTGACTGCATGTACGATCAAAGCAGCCATGGCAAGGTTGTGTCGGGAGACAGGAAGCCCTTGAAGGGAACGGAAGAAAAGCAAGAATAGATTGCTGGAACCAAGGTGAGAGGAGCTTCTTCAGAGAAGGGTTGGAAAGCAGCTCTGTTTTCTCTAGAGGAGATGTGCAGTTGAAGCTGTAAGAGGTGGACTTGGCTTGTCTCTTGCACTGATTGACTGAGAATACAAAGTGGTAAGGCACACAAGAAAATTTGGTGTTATTAAGCTGTGAATCTAGTGAAAATGAGAAAACAATATTGATTATACTATTACATCATAAATATTTGCAGGTTTTGTCTCCTCTAGATTTTCTATATATTATAAAGCTGTTGATAAGCTGATGTTGCAGTACTGTAGCTTTCGATACCTGTAATGCCAAATCTTTATTAACTGTGTGAAATAATGGATGCATACAGAATTGAACCCAGCTCCTACTTTTTCTTCTGAGCAAACATTTCTCATCCAAATGACTTAGCACATCAGTGGGAGTTCTGTTTTCCCAGTTACTCATGTAATCCACCATGTGAACTGATGCGTAGAAAGCACTGAAGTTAAAACAGGTCACCTAAAACAAGTGCTCTTCTCTTTTCTGCTCTCTAGTTACCAGCTAAGACAGGAGTTGTTTCATCTTCTTAGTGCTAAGCGGCAGTGCAAAGAAGATGAAGACAAATGGAGACAAGAGACAGCTGCCTTCTTCATTCAGGTTGCTTGGAAGAAACAGCTGAACCATAGCCCTCTGAAATCAGTTCCTTCATGTAAAAATCTTAGATCTATAAACAAAACCAGCTCAGCCATAAAAACCAGCAAGCAGTCCATCCTTAAGCAGATATATGGTAATTTTGTCTTCACTATATTTAAATAGCTACGCTTCTATTTTTATAACAGTGTTTCCTGTATTTAGGATTTCTTCTATATACTTCTTACCTAATTGTTAGGGATTTCAACTGTTTATAAAAATTAAGTCTGAATCTCAGGTGTTCTGAGCAATTGTTTTTCTGTTTCAGATTGAAAAAAAAAATGCCTCTGTGATTTAAAATGGCTGCTGCTAAAGCTGTTTGAATCACCACACAGCATTATTCCAGTGCAGGTCTTGAGCAACCAAATAAATAATTTTGTTGCCAGAGCTGCTCACATGTATAAATGTGGAAAGAGCATAGAGCAGTTAAGCTGGGGATACCTGGCTGTATGAATGCACAGTGGCTACCTGCATCATGGCTTAATTTTTTTAAGCATCATTTTTGGGGGTTGTATTGTTTCTTAAATATTGTTTCCAAATTTGTTTCCAATATTGTTTTCAACTTGTTTCCATTTGAAGAACATGGTCTTGTTCCATGTTAATAACTTTCTTGTTTGAAGATAGCTGGTCATTATTGGAAGAGCAAGATCATCTTTTATGATAACATTGCAGTGCTTTGCAGTATGCCTGAGTGTGCATGGTGCAAAGGAATGCAGCTTGAAGAAAGGGTCGAGGAAAAGCATTGCTCTTAAAACTTGAGTTCCTTTACAGTGTGGATCACTGATGGAGTAAGGATGTGCTAATTATAGGTACTTTACCAACTGGTAAGTCACTTCTATCATGGCTCTATGGATAGCCAAAAAGGATTAGATAAATAAATAGATAAATAAATAAAGTTAATAATTTTATTTTCCTTCTTTTTTTATAGCAGCTGCGAGATGTATTTTAACTTTAGTTGAAGTTCAGTTGTGGTTGTCACAATTTTCTGTCATATAGAGTGTCTCATGAGTTTCCTCATCATAAATAATGTTTAGGATAAAATAATGCTGTAGCCTACTTAGTTTATAGCGATACATAACCACATCTTTATGTGAATAAACACAGAGCTGTTTGTGTTGTTTGTTAAAGGACGTTCTCAGGAAGGCAAAGTCTATCAGCCAACAAGACCTCCTTCTCAGCTGAAACTTTCTGATGTGCAGCTGGTCTCAGGTAGGACACATACATCTTAAAATACTTTAATGTTTATATACATATGAGATTGGTTTTATCTTAGAAAAGAAGGAACATCTGCTCAAGAACTGGGATCTCATATCAAGGCACTACCAAACTGTTGTGATTGCATGCTCTTTCTTTCACTACTTTTGGATTTGAGCACTGCACTTTTATCTTTATGTTGAATCATTTATATGAAAACCTATTTTCACTGGGCTGTTGCTAGGAAAGACCTCCAATATAATGGACTTGTACCTGATAAGCCAGATGACGTGCACCTGTGGTTAAAATTGCTTACAGATGTTCCATCATTTGGTTCAGC